GTCCGCCATGAGGCATTATCCACTTAATTTTTGGTTATGTCATTTTTTCAACGATAGTACTTAAAGTTCGCAAATATTAATATTTCTGTCTAATTTATATTACAAATACATGCGTTCAACGTAACGATTCTCAATAAATCTTTGACATTTCTACTCGGATCGCAAACGTGTCTTATACGCACGCAAATCATGCTCGACGAGTCGCGTACAGTTTAATCACATTCTTCGCTATTGATATCACAGGGCCATTGTGATCGTTGTGTTTACGGTACTTTTAAATACGTTTCCTTATTGTTCCAAATTGGTATACAATTGTAACGTCTGTTGCGTAAGCAATAATAAAAACGATCCTCAACGTCTGGAATTCTCATCGTGCACGATGCTTCGAAAAAAGTGATTTCAAGCTTCGAAATAAATCGAAACGATCGTCCAAACGTTTCTTTTTCACGCGGAGCCTCTCTTCCAGTCTCCTTCCAAGAACGTTAACTTCGACTCGGGTACACGTGCACTCGGCTAAAATGCGACATAACGGATTTCGCCGTAGAGCCGCTGTTATGGTTTCCTTCCAAGCATAATATGTCGTCACGGTGTTGCTGTCAGACTCGACCGAAGCAGGGAGCGAACACTTTTGGCGTCACCAAGGCCAATCGTCTCTCGTTGCCAACCCAAACATTCCCATAACCGCCTTCTCGCAGCGTGTGGTTCTCGATATACATTTCTTCTGATTAATATCTTCTATTCGGGTCATATGAATTTAACGAAGAAATATACACGCATACGTACCGGGTGTCTCTCGGTAATCTTGTCACGAATCGTATCTTCGTTACTTCTAACTAGAGATGGCGTGCAAAATCACTAACAGTGGTTTATCACAGTGATCGCAAAATCACGATCACGTTTGTGATTAAACTCCATTCACGACCGTGATCCGAAAGATGGCGTTTTAGTAGCGGTTCACGTTCACTGTGATCGTTAGTGTTCCGCTAACTCCCCTCGGTGGAAATTCAAAGGATTACAAATGCGCCTTTAAATTGTATAGTAATGTAGTACTAAGCAATGAAAAAGGCTGGGTTAGGTCTGGGTTGTTATTTAAAAATAACAACATAGGTAATTTTGATGGTTTTAAATTAGTTCCAGCTTTTGAAAATATCCTTTCGCCGATTCAATTAATATTTCCTAATTTGCATATTAAAATATATGGTAGGTTTTTACTCATAATAGCTGCTTTAGCTATAATTGGCTCTTTTAATAATGTAAATCTGTCATGTGATATACTCATACGCAAACACAATGATTTTAACTAAATTTTTTTTTTATATTCTGTTATTCTTACATTATTATAAATATATTTATTATATGCTTGATCAAACCTTGCTTATAAAGTTATAACATAAGTGGCATGTATATAAATTGAAATTTTTACATTATTCATAGTAAGTTTTTATACATTAATACGACATTTTGTATATATTTATATTATAAAGAAATAAGTTAGAATTTAAAATTACAAACAGGTTAGTTTTGCGTATACATTAATTTGTTGAAAAATTCCACTAACATTTATGAAACGAATGTTGAAACAATGAGAAATAAAACTTATACTTAGATCTATTGCTTTTAGACCATATTATAATACAATACATATACAGTTTAAGGACATAATTCGTGAAAAGTGAACGCTCCCCACCAATTAAAAGAGATCACGAATCACTGTGAAAAATCACCATGATTGGAAATGAACGTGATCGAATCACGAGTGACACAAAAGTAGCAGTTCACGCCATCTCTATTTCTAACAATACAAAGAAACGACTTAGTCGCTACGAAAATAATAGTCAATATCAACCTAACCTAACCTAACTCCAGTATTCTAATAAAAGAATTTTATATTATCGAACCCACTTGAGAAAGAAGGCCTAATCTACAATGATCTTTGAATGTTTACAATGCGATCAAACCATTTAAAATGAAACATTTTCTTTTTATAGTCAGAAATAAAAAATTTTAATTTTCTCAATTTAACCTTTACCTTTACTTATTCTTATAGTCAGGGTGTACAGTTCCCTATTATGGTGTTGCAGAATTAAATCTTCTTTCACAGCTTAACACGGTTGGTTTTCATAAGCTAAATAGATTCCCGCAACAAAACCAACAAAAGGGTTGTTTTGATCGCGTGGCTGGTGAGGTGAAACTACCTCCCTCCACTGACGCGATCAGAGGGTCAAACGCAAGGAAGTTAATCTACTTCCATCATCAAAAACATGTTGAATAAATGCAAGTTTCAGATAACAAAAACGTGCACCGTAGCTTTACTCTATTCTTTGTTGCTTAGTTTAGTATACTTCGTAAGTTTTACTTTTATAACTACGATAAATATAATTATATACATAGATGCACAATATACCGCTATAAATCATTGGACGCTTGACTTGCTCGGTTTAAAAAATGCAAACAACGACAAACGTACAATTTTCTGGATAATTTATATTTTCGTTGTAATTTGAAGAATTGATAAGAGTTTCATTTCATAATCTATCATGATCGTTGAATATCAATCGTTATATAAGGTTTTCCCCGAATGTCTGACCGATGAAGCGAGCGTTAATGATGTTTTCACGCTTGATGCAACGATAAGTAAAAATAGGGAAAATAATCTTGTTATCTTTGGAAATGTCCAATTCGTAGAAAGACTTATCCAAACATTAAATTTCTGAAAATTTATCGGGTATTCTATAAATTTATTGCTTATTTAGTTATCAACGATAATATGTGATTGGACGAGTATTTATTGGACCATACAAAATAGCTCAATAAGTTTATTAAGCTGCCCTCTATGGTCCAATAAATACTATCTAATCACAATAATATTTGGCTGTTACTCTTGAACATGCATAAAAAATTAAATATGAATTTTGTATTAAATATAGTTGAGACGACCAAAATTCTTATCCACGATAGACGCAAATTTCTAATAATGAATAAAAGATCAGTGTTTGAATTATAGAATTAAATATTTTATTATCAAGAAATAAAAACTTAACTGTTCGATGAAATAACCAACTATACAGGGTGTTCGGCCACACCCGGTAAAAATTTTAATGGGAGATAAGAATATCAATTTCTTAATTGGGGCTTCGTTAAAAAGTTATTAAAAAATTAAATTAAAAAATTTCAAATCATTCTGAGAAAATTATTTTCGGTTGCAAGGGTCGTTAAAATCATTTTTGGCAATTGGACATAACCCCGAATTCCTACACACTTTCGAGAAAAAAATTCGAGTAGGTGGACAAAGTCGACGAAAAAAAAAATTTTCAATTGTTCTGGAAAAATTATTTTCGGTCGCGGGGGTCGATTACAATCGTTTTTGGTCATTAGACATAACCCCGAAATCCTGCGCACTTTCGAGAAAAAAATTCGAGTAGGTGGACAAAGTCAACGAAAAAAAAAATTTTCAATCGTTCTGGAAAAATTATTTTCGGTCGCGGGGGTCGATTACGATCAATTTTGGTAAATAGACATAACCCCAAAATCCTGCGCATTTTCGAGAAAAAAATTCAGTACTTGGGACTTTAAACGTTAGTAACTTTTTAACAAAGCCTCCATCAACAAATTCGTATTCTTGATTTTCGTGCTATTTTGGCCTCTAAAATTTCCCATTAAAATTTTTCCCAGGGTTGGTCGAGAACACCCTGTATAACCTAACTCGATAACCTAACCAACTCTAATGCAGAGAATCTAGCACAAGCTGTTGAAAAATAGTTGACAACGTATTTCTCCTGGCGTTAACTAACAATAAACAAAAACAATAAAGGAAAAAATATCCTACGACGTTAACTTTACGTTTAAACGAGGAATACATAACGTTGTTACTTTGAAATTGTGTATCAGTTTCAGCGAACTGCATCACGTTCGAATGGAATTGCTCGTTTAAAATTGAATGCGTGTCTACGATTACTTAAATGTTTCAAGCGGTAATTAAATTTTCGATCGATACCGCGTCCATTATTCTTTTAAAATTAGCGTAAATAAACGAAAGAGAAACATACATAGTGCAATTACGTCCGAGGATCATGAGTGTACTGTTGAGTACCGAGTACGAGAGGTCATCGGCAGTTTCACAGCAAAAAACCTGTTGCTTCGCTTACGTTGTCACGACGTTTAATCTTTATTGTGGACTCGCAGGAAAAGTATTAATCGAAAACTGGAACCTTGGCCAAGTTTGTGAATTAATCGGGATCGACGATAGGTTGGCCGGTTCAACACAATTCGCACAGGACGGTGAAAGAAAAGTTGATACCGTTTAACATTGCCAAGAGAGTTCGCAATCTCAACCGCCGTACCCGTTTTCATTCAACTTTCGTAAAACGACGATCCGTTTGACACGTGACGTTCGTTTGTGTTTAAAGGCACGTACGATGCACGCGTGGGAAAGCAAGATTTACCGTGATCGAATCGAAAATCTTCGTTAAGATTTCACCGATATCTTCGAACACGGTCGGACGGTAATTGACGGAGAGCCACACTGATAACCGTCGATCGTCGGAGTACAGAATCCTATGTCGCGAATCGTGTTTGTTCGACTGTTTTACGCGCGATTACGTACTCTTTGTGAAATGCACACTTACCGAAAACTACTAATCCTGGATGCAGCGCAGTAAACATTCGCGAAATACAACAGGGACGACATAACCCGCGCACAAAACTAAACCGGCCATATTGTTTACTGGAACAGCATTCGGCCGTGTACCTGCTTTCACTGTTTGCGGATCTCTCGTAAAAACGATGAGAACACTATCTGTTGTTGAATGCGACCAACCAACTTAGGATCTTTCTAGCCTTCGTGGGTAACATTGCGACGTTCTCGGTTGCAGACCTGGCAGAATGCGGTTTTTATCGATAGAAATTATTACGCGTTGCTTTGTCCCGTTAAACAGGGGGAGTTAATAATCAAGCGACGTAAATATAATTCATTTCTATTTATCGCGAATCGTTACCGCAGATGCGGTGCATTTTTATAACAAATATTTAGAAACGTTCGCGAACGCTGTAACATTTGTTGCTATTAGTGATTAACACATAGTGTCATTCGCCAAAAGATCAATGTGCTTTGACAAGGACATTTAGATTATGTGAGTTTAAATACCACTTCTTTTTCGAATCGTTTTATTGCTCGACGAATGAAAATATTCGAAAGATAACATTGTCCTCATTGTAATAATAATCAATATGGTTTTGAAGTAGATTTTGCAATGACGTGTTTTTGTCATACTATGCTTTCGAGGTTGTCAATTTTGAACATATTTGTTTTATTTAATTCATTAAGGTCATAATCGATTCCGTAAGATGTTTCACTTGCTATCTCGGGATCTTCTGAGATACATTATATTTTACTTTAAAAATAACATATGTGAACAATGTGAAAATTGATATTTCATATATAGGTAGCCTTCCTATAACGCGACATCCTCTAACACGGTTTCGCTATAACAAGATTCATACATTGCGAGAACCCTACTACAACACGGCATCTTATAAAACAGTTTCACTTTAACGCGATAAGAAAATTGCAAAAACCTTTGTACATCACTGTACTCCTACAGCACTGGATAACATGATTTTTGATTAACATATCTAAAAACTAAATTACTTTAAAATAATGAACTATAGTGGCTTTACATGAAAAAATATAAACAAATTATAATTTATTAAATTAAGGTTGCGTTACATTAAAATAACAGTTTTTGTTTTGTGTTATACATACATTTATATTTTTCATAAAAATTACGTTGCTTATGAAGAATGAAAAAAAAATATTTGTTTTTAATAAGTTTTCGAAACGTAACTCCCCTTTTTGTACTGGTTCTGAGTCTCATATAACACGGTTGCACACAACGCTGCATTTTCTAGAAACCTATCTATCGTGTTATAGGAGGGTTACCTGTATTAGTATTTGCTACGAATTTAGCTACTTGCACTGAAATTGATGCGTGAAATAGTATAGTTCCAGTAATATGTATTTTGTATTACAGAAATAATCACTAAATATACACAATGCCACGTCACAATCGTCACAAGAAAGCCCCTTTCATTGGGGAAGATACTAGAATTGCTGTAAATTTAACATTAAAAAAGTTAATGGACTCTCCGCATCAAAAAGAATTGGAGTTTCCATCGTCGTATACATCAGATGAGAGAGCATACATTCATTTACTTGCGTACGAACTTGGATTAAAATCCAAAAGCAGAGGGTAATTAAAAAAATAATATATATTTCAAATTGATAACGATTGTAAATTATAAATCTCTTTCCAACAGCAAAGGTACAAATCGTTTTTTAACGGTGTACAAGAGAGAGGGATCATCCATAGTCCAAGCTGATGCTCTAATAAAATTGCCAACGTCATTGAGACAGAGTATTTTAAGCTTAATACAAAGTTTTCCATTAAGTTTTAAAGAATGCCATGATTTATTACCGCCGCTTGAACGAGAACGTCATCTTAATACAGATGGTACAGTACATATTTGATGTCTAGTAATGGCATTACTGGACACATTTTATTCAAGGTTAAAAATAATTACAATCTTTAATTTTCAGTTTCGGTGAATACAAATACCAAAGCAATGGGGCGATTAAACAACAGTGTGCCACAAATACCACAATTGAAAACTAATTACGATGTATTAAATTTTCGTAAATCGCTACCAATTTTTAACGTCAGAGACGAGATTCTTAATGCTTTAAATGCCAATCAAGTGGTCATAATAGGTGGTGAAACAGGTAGCGGTAAAACGACCCAGGTGCCTCAGTTTATTCTGGAGCACTGTCAACAGAGGCTTCAACCTTGTAGAATTATCTGCACTCAACCAAGAAGACTGTCCGCCGTATCTGTAGCTGAAAGAGTAGCGTTTGAAAGAGATGAAAAAATTGGCCAAACATTTGGTTATCAAATAAGACTCGAGAGCAGAGTTGCCCCAAAAACTCTTTTAACGTACTGTACAAACGGTGTATTGCTTAGAACTCTTATGGCGGGTGATTCTGCTTTGAGTACTGTTACACACGTTATAGTAGATGAGATTCATGAACGCGATAGATTCTGCGATTTTCTTTTGATAGCACTGAAGGATGCGTTATTGAAAAACAGATCTTTGAAGCTTGTACTTATGAGCGCTACGTTGGATGTGAACATTTTTGTAAAATATTTTAACAAATGCGCGGTTATCAATGTCTTGGGTAGATCATTCGACGTGGATACATATTTTCTAGAAGAAGTTCTAAAAATAACTGGTTATACGACAAAAGAAATGCTTTTAAAGAAAAAAGAGTTACTGAATAAAAAGGATCAACGAAAAATTTTAGAAAGTTGGACGCAATACAAGCCTCAACAATCAGGATCGAACAGTACGACCGAAAGATGTTTATTACCTGCTCCGATTTTAGCCCAGCAAAGCGAACCTATTCCAGAAGTAGTGAAATTGAAACCCTGGCTATTAGAAGAAATGGATTTAAGTATTCGCAAAGCATGGTTATGCGGTGGCGAAGATAATTTCGTGCAACTTCTATATTTCATTCTTTCTGAGAATGTTTCTGTAGACTATCAACATTCCGCAACGCATGTAACGCCGCTTATGGTGGCTGCGGGTAGAGGATGCATAAACACTACGGAGCAGCTATTGAATCTGGGCGCCAATTTAAATTTACGCGCAGGCAACGAGTGGACTGCCTTAGATTGGGCGAAAAACATGAATCAAACTGAATGTGCAGAATTGATAGAAGCATGTATGAAAATTTACGATTGCGCATTGCAAGATGACGCGATAACATATGCTAAAGATGTTCCACTTTCGGAAGAGGATAAGCTTTTATTGGATGTATATAATCATACATTCAACGACGAGAACATCAATTTCGATCTTCTGTTACGATTAATTATACACGTTCATTTGAAAATGCCTTCCGGTTCTCTTTTGATATTTTTACCAGGATACGACGATATCGTGACTATGAGGGAAAAAATTAATAACGAAGCAAAAGAAATGAATCAAGGTTTACGGTATACTTTATACGTGCTACATTCGAACATGCAAACATGCGACCAAAAGAAAGTATTCAAACCAAGCCAGCAGGGAACTCGTAAAATTATTCTATCGACGAACATCGCTGAAACGAGTATTACGATCGACGATGTTGTTTACGTTATCGATTCGGGAAAAGTGAAAGAAAAGTCTTTCGACGCTATATCGGGAGTGTGCACGCTCAAATCCAAGTGGATTTCCCAAGCTTGTGCAAAACAGCGTAAGGGCAGAGCAGGAAGGTGTAGAAAAGGCATTTGCTACCGCATGTTCTCTTCGATTCGATATAACAGTATGCGGCCCTATCAAACTCCCGAAATTTTAAGGTTACCACTGCAAGAATTGTGTTTGTACACAAAACATTTAGCTCCCGGGAACACACCGATCGCAGAATTTTTAGAGCGAGCACTAGAGCCTCCCTCCAATATAGTAACAAGAAATGCAGTTCAGTTGCTAAAAACTATCGATGCGTTAGACCCGTGGGAAGATCTCACCGAATTAGGAAGTCATTTACTTGATTTACCAGTTGAACCACGACTAGGGAAAATGTTACTGTATGCTGTTGTTCTGAAATGCTTAGATCCAGTCTTGACTATTGTGTGCAGTTTAGCGTATAAGTAAGTCAAGTTTTATATGTCGAAGAATTAAAAAGAAATTTTCAATTAGTTGCGACACCTTGTTTTTCTCAAAGGAAGGTATCGTTGGGCAAAAATGTCGAGAAATTGAAATATATTACTGTTAGATTGTTCTAATAAACGATTAATTTCAGGGACCCCTTTGTTTTGCCTTCGCAACCATCACAGAAACGAGCCGCAACTGCAGCTCGTAAGAGGTTCGCGACCAATACGTATTCCGATCATATGGCGGTGTTGCGTGCTTTCCAAGGTTGGCAAAATGCACGTGCGAGCGGCAAAGAACGTACATTTTGCGAGCAAAATTTTATATCTGCTGCTGTAATGGAGATGGTAGTTGGAATGCGTACTCAACTTCTCGGCCAGCTTCGTGCATCTGGATTTGTTAGGGCTAGGGGGCCGGGAGATATCAGAGATTTAAATTCAAATTCCGAAAATTGGGCAGTGGTAAAAGCAGCTTTGACTGCTGGTTTATATCCAAATCTAATAAGAGTGGATAGAGAACACTTGCAATTGAGAACACAGTATGTAAATTTGTTTCTTTTCTTGTACATACTCTTGTACAGTGTAATACTAGTTCTCTTTTTACATGCTTTGTAATGAATTTTATAGAAAAGAAGTGAAGGTATTTTTCCATCCATCGTCAACATTAAGAGATTATCCAAAGTCACCACGAATGACGTCTGCACAGACACACGCAGCCAATATAGAAACTATACCTTGCGATTGGTTAGTTTATGAAGAAATGAGTCGTACAGGACGTTTTTGTCATGTTAAAATGGTTACTTTAGTTAATCCACTAACAGTAGCGTTGTTCTGTGGTCCAGCAAGACTATCTATAGATGTAATTAGCGAAGCTGAATGTGAGTACTTAAATATACGCAAAACGATACTCATAATCTCTGAAAGGTCTTGTCCATTTTATGTTACTACATATCATTTATTTTAACATTATTGATTATTTTCGTATTATTATTGTTACACAGCTGTACCGGAAAGTGATTCAGATTCCGAAGTCGATGAAACTAACGAAGGGACAATTTTCAAACTTGATGATTGGATAGTATTTAAACTTGCTCCTGAAACTTCCAGTTACTTTGTACATTTAAGACAGAAATGGAATGCCTTATTCTTAAGGCGTATGAAAACACCGAACAAAGCAATGTCGCAGCTAGACGAAAAAGTAGTGAGCACTGTAGTGAGTGTAATTACAAACGAGGAACAATCATGTGGATTACAGCAACCATCTGGTATTGGCCAAAGACCACGTCCATTAATTGTTGATTATTACCCTGCCAATACTAGAAGATCCGACGACTTCGCAGAGGTAAATATTCTAAATTTTTCAATGTTATTCCAATTTCTAACTATTTATATGTTAATATAAAATTTATTCTTTTTTTTTTTTTAGAGAAATTTTTAAATTCGGATAACAGAAGAATATTTTATTATGTATAATCTATAAGAAACATTTTATTCTCTTGATTCGTATGTGTAACTCATTGCGAAGTCGCAATGATACTTCAATATTTACATAAACTTTATGAAAGTTGAATAGATTGCATTTTAAATAGACAGGGTAAAAGAAACGAAATGCCGCCAATTGCAGGATACCCGTAATTATACTCAGATGTTTACGTAGTATCAAAAGAAGCTTCAAAGTTAATAAATGTTCCCTTTGCTTGAAAAATTTAAAAAATAATGGTATGTTTAGTCGTACTTTGTATCTCTTATACATATCACTTGTTTTTTACATGCTAATTCTGACTGTTTTAAATTACTATCAAGCACACAACAGTTTCTTTATAAGATTTTATAAAACTATTTACATGCACGAATTAAATATGTTACACAGTGTTGATGAATAATGACAATTAATATTAGATACACATATACATAACTCCTTGGCTTATTATAACATTTAATTTGTTGTAAAGGTGCTCCTTTTTGTAATTGCTTTATATTTCTACTTTACTGCCTAAATAGTGTAGAATGAGCAACATGTAGGAATCAAAGTAGATCTTTGTACCTTTTAAAACATGTGATATACTGTATAGATATTAATCTTAAGTAATTAATTTACATTTTATACTGTGCATAAAGTACTTAATGCTATAATTTACTATACAGAATAATCACGTTTAAGAAAAATAATAATTTGCAAGGAAGCAGATAACTTAATGTCAAACAAAACAATGAACCCATAGTTCATTAACTAATTAATTATAATTTTTATTCGAGGCTTAGAATGCAATATAAAATAATTAAAGCGATTATTTAAATTCATTTATGCGTCATTATTTTATACGATATAATAAACACTTTTATTTGAATTTAATGCTTGCGAATATTTATCATCGAGTACAAAGTTTACTTGTATTTTAAATATTCTGGAAGTGATACATTACAGAAAAATTGTTTATTTTTTACATAGTGATCTAGTTTATGGAAAATGTTTAGGCAGCAATAAGGTATATGTTGATATTAAAACAGTTTATAGAATTATTGTAATAATTTTCAGTGTGATAATAAAAGAGTTGTATCATAATCCATAAATGCTTATTGATTTCTCACGTATTGAACATTAGCAGAAACATCTAGTCATTATCTTCAAATGACCTTTGAATTGTTTGTAATAGTATGAATGATGTAATGTATATTATGAAAATATTTACGAATACTGTTAACATTTACTGGTGTAATATATTTGATTAGTAACTTTTGAATTAAGATTAATTTAGAATTTCGTTTTTAGAAATTTAACAATAAACACGTGTTAATTATAATATGTGTTATTAAGTTTAGATAAAGCAAGGTTTCTGATTATTATTAAAGTATAATCATTTTCCCCAATATTTTTAACTTTTCTCATTCACACAGCATAATTAATTTAAATGACGTAATAGAAAATATGTATTTAACCTTAAATTAGTATTGCATCGGGACGTTCAAGTTATTTCTTATTTTCTTTAAATATGCTTTGTTTGCGGAACAATATTAATGGCATAACGCTATGAAACTCAAATTAAAATATTTATTTACAAATCAACACGCGATAAAATAAATTATAATAGTAATCCCTATTGTGATAAACACTTAAGATTAGATATAAATATATATTTTCTTCTATAAAACTTCACTTTTATAGAACATTGAAGATATTGTTTATATTTTGAAGTAAAAGTTAAGTTAAACAATGTCATTCGTTTCTTGCAACCTTCGTCGCATGTCAACTGTGTCAAGAGTTTTGGAAATATCAAAAACTATGTACCCTAACCTTTCACAGTTTGTACGCTGCAAATCAGGTAAGTTAGATGATAATTAAATTAGTGTTTGATAACACTGAGACATTGTCGACACTTAATTAACATATTTTTATTGCAGATAATGTAGTTGTCACTATAGGAGATGTTTCAAAACCAGTGAAGTCAGCACAGAATTCTGAATACGTACCACGAAAATATTGTAAGTTAAATAAGATGGTTACTGTATAATTTAAATTCTCTTAGTTTTATAAAAATCAATAACAAACAGTTGATTGTGTGTTGGAATAGTAATAAAGGCATCTACTCAAGAGGCATTGAGGCACTTAAGATGGATGCTCCAAAAGGATGTTTTATCTCAAGATATTTTTTTAATGGGCGGTCCAGGAATTAAAAGAAGAGAATTAGCTCTATCATTTCTTGAACTTACGGGACGCGAATTAGAATTTATTGCACTTTCGAGGGACACAACCGAAGCAGATTTGAAACAGAGGAGGGAAATTAAAAGAGGTACTGCTTATTATCACGATCAAAGTGCAGTGAGAGCCGCAACAAATGGAAGAGTTCTCATTATCGAGGGTGTTGAGAAAGCTGAACGAAACGTGCTTCCTGTATTAAATAATTTATTAGAGAATCGGGAGATGCACTTGGAAGATGGTAGATTTCTTATCCCCGCGGCACGTTATGATAAGTTACTCGAGGTAGCTCGATACTGTTTTATTGTTTGACACTACCAATTTCATAAATTTATTTTAAATTCATCAATTCATCAATCGTTTCAGGCGCATAGTCAAGAAGAATTAAATGCTTGGCGGCTCGTTCGAGTTAGCGAGGACTTCAGAGTTATCGCGCTAGGTCTACCATCACCGCGATATCCTGGACATCCGCTCGATCCTCCTCTCAGATCTAGGTTTCAAGCCAGACATATTCCACCACCGAGTTACGAAGTGAGTATATTGAAACATAATTGTTTACAACTCTGGCTTTAAAACTTCTGAACAAATTGTGGATGGCTTAATTGTCCTAAGATTATCCCTCGCCAGCAGCCATTTTAACACAGTTGCTTCTTTTAAAGCAATGAAGTATCAAATGCCACGAATGCTTTCACTGATTTTTCATACATTAAAATGTATAGAAATCGAACAAAACACTTTAAAAGGATTTACGAGACAATCTAATACTAACGATGTCTTTAAATAAGAAAATAAGTTAAACTGTGAATTTCTAATTATTTTTATGTGTTGAATCAATGCTCCCAGCTTTCCCAAAGATTTGCTTTACAGGGTATAGACGAACTTAAGGGGCCATTCTACCTTGTAGGCATGAAAAATACGTGTTTCTTTGTGATTTTTTTTTGCGGATTATTAAAGAGCGATTAATTCCGGATTTTGTAGATACATTTATTATATATTTAGCTATATTTACGAATTTTTGCAACGCATAATATCTATTGATTACGCTGTTTTTGTTGATCATCAAACAACAGTTTTTACGAACGGCACCCGACTGCGTACGTGATATCTTGCGAACAAGTTATTCGAAATCCTAAAACCAACGATATTCTTAATATAGATGAGTGTGGTTATAGCATGAACTAGGATCTGTTCAAAAAAACAAAAAATGGCAAAATGGCAGCTATTTTACGAAAAAATACTGAATATTTTCATATATTTGGTTGCTTTTTTGTTAATAAAAGAAAAAGTATTGCATATATCGCAATTATCCTAGTTCATGCTATAGGGAGACCAGTTCTGAAGATACTGTATAAATTTCATGCTGATATCTTGAATAGTTTTTTAGTTATCACGCACGCAGTGCCGAAAGATGTAGTTTCGAGAAAAACAACTTTAAAGTTTCACGTCTAGTTGTTATACCTACGCGCGGTACATTTCAGCAGGCTATAACTTCGTTAGGTTTCCGAATTTCAATTTAATATTTGGTAGACATATTTTCGAGACTACATACTAAAGGAAAATGCAAAAAAAAAAATATCGATTTTTTTAATCCCACAAGGTAGAAAGGCCCCTTAAAACACCGAATTAATTAACAAAATAAAAAAACGCCAAGAAGGTAAAAAATGGTTCTCTTTTTTAATGTACAAACATGAAGCACCGTCGACATTAGCATTACCCAGTGTGCACTACGACGAGGTTGCTCGATCGGGATTTTGCACACCATGTGGCCCTGAAAAGGGTCGTTTTTATAGTTTTCTCTATTCGGCCATAAGAATTTCAACATTCATATTGTCTTGATGCCCTCTATTAGGGCCATCTCTAGTCGTATTTAGAAGTTTGCCATCCGAATTTTTGGCATGTCTTTGATGACGAGCAAATCCTAGAAACCTTAAAACACTTGCAATATGTGCGCATGTACCCAATGTTTTGGCACCAGATTGACAGGTGCAGTAGTAACCATTTATTACTTCATCTTCTAGTCCCAGTTCATTTTCGGGAATGTGAGAAATAAGAACTTGAAGGCTGTTATTTACCAACGAAGTGTCAATCTGTAATTCATCGTCATCATCTTTTTACAGCAAAGGGTCGGGGGGTCAAAGGGTAATTTTTAGGGGCCCACAGTACTACTATTGAGTTTTAAGGGGTCAAATAAATGGACAGTGTACAACAGTGCTTCTTACACTCAAATATGCTCAAACGTGGTAGTATAAAATAAGGCGCACTATTATTGACTTTTGATCCACCGTACCTTGTAAACTGTTCAATTTCCGAGCTTGGGCTCATTGGAACTTTTCATCAAGATATAATGAACTACATCATATCAAAAGTTCAGCTAATTTAACCGGGGGCCATTTTCCATAAGATCTAAGCGGGGTCCTTTGAACGGAGAACGCTTCGCGTTCAAATTTTGCATAAAAAGTTCTAGGTCAGGCCTGGCTGTAAATGCACGTTCCTCGTTAGCGATACGAATACATATAAGTCTCACGTGACAATGCTGTGTAATTACGCGGCTCGCCGGAGACAGCGGCACGTGCAACCCGCTGAAGTTTTCCCTGATTTATGGGAACGCAACGACGTACCATCGGACATGGGGGTGCGGAGGTCGCACCAACCCCTCCAGTCAGCCATCCCTTCCGGGGCTGGTTTCCTTCCTATATAAACTGTTGGTCGCTGCGCTATGGTCACAGTCATCGCAGTTTGGATCGCGTGTCCCGAACAACGGACGCGTGTTTTGTCCTCCTGTTCAGCCCGGGGAGTCGATACGTCGGAATTCGCCCGAGCCTGAAACCTCCGACGCACATCGTGTCCGTAGAATCGACGGGCGACCGCAAAATATTCGTCCACGTTTAAAGATCACGATGACAAAGAGCAGAGAAACGGAACGGATCTTTTTTTAAACAGCAAACATTGCATAATATGACATCAATTCGCTCAGCGATAATTCCACGTCCGTTAAGAGACATCGAAACTCGCGATGCGTTGATTTCGATCTTCCGTCGGTACGAAGAATGCCAGCTATATGGTCGTCGTCGGAAAGACCGATATCAGTTCGAACCGTGTGGGTGGACGGTATACGGCACGCGATTTTGTCACCGGACGATCCTCTCGTCGACACCGAGCCACGAAGACGGTCGCGTTCCTCGAGGAGTAAAAATTACGGGACGAGTTATCGTCGGCCCGAGTCGAGGCTGGATCGTTTGAACGGCCGTTTCGCGAATCTGCGCGTGGTCGTCGGCAACGATCGTTCGCAGAACAAGACGTCCTCGCGTATGTATCGCGAACTGTCCGCGCCACCTTATCCTCGAATGACGACCGCTAGCTTCGCCACGGACGGGGAGTCCTCGTCCGACGACAACGGGAACGTTGGAAAGGATCGTGGTGGTCGTCGAACGGCGAAACGAGACGTGGACATTCTTATCGACAAACCGATTTTCAGGGATGAAACTTGCGGAGGATCGGTGGAGTCGGGGAACGATCCCAAGCCACGGATAATGGAGCGCAAGGAGGCACAGGAAACGCTCGACGCTTTCTGGAATCCGTTGTTCGAGAGGGTACTCCAGTGGCTGGATTTGTCTGGACGATCGCAGAGCTACGATCCGGAGGACGATTCCGTGGAAGATTCGCCGCGGGACGAGGAGCGAAAATGGAGTACCGTTAAAAGGAGGGTCTCGCGATTCGAACGGGCGACGATACAGAATTGTAAATTGCACAGGTCGCGTAATCAGGAGCACGTCGACAGAGAGGAGAGCAAGGCGTCGCAGAAGAGATTGCCCAAGATAAGGCGGGAGAACGAGGAAACGACCGCGAATCTTGCATTTTGCTCGTCGGATCGCGCGAAGGCGCGTTTCAGATCGAAGGAGGACGAGTCTGGGAACAAAGTTGCGGCGGAAGAGAAAGTATCGGCGGTGTGGTCGCCGCCTGGACGCCTTCAGCTGCACATAGTGATGCCAAATCTCGTTTACGGGAAGAACGCGTCGTCGCAGGAATCGTTGATCGACGATTAAGCGAGAATACACGAGCAATTATATCCGTTTGCATGTAACGCCGTAGCTGTAAACTTGTATAAAACTTTTTTACGCGTAGCGTGCCCCATAAACGAAAAGTACTTTCTGTCATGAGACGATTTCGTCGTGAAAATATCATAAGTCGTTTTAATGCTTCTTGAATGGAGCCGTTTCTGTAGACATCTTTTAACGGTGAGACATTACACAAAGGTAATCCTAATTTTAATTTCAAAGGCGGTATCTGACGCGAAGAATCGTGATTTCTCAAATTACGAATCTTTCTGAGATTTTTATATTAAGGCACACCTTTTAACAATCCTTGCTTTAAATGATAATATACAATTTTGAATATGATGTCTCTTCTACAGTATAAGAAAATTCGTTGTTTTACTAAACTGTTAATATTCATATTAATGAAATAAATTGAAAGTGTCAATCACTGTGTTATAATAGGCACGGTTATCTTACGTTTATTATTTTCAAATATCAATTCGACACGCGCGTGGATTCCATTTAATTTTCTCGTTTCTCTATTTTCACAGTGACTCTTCCGTCGGAGCTACAATCGGGCTTCATTTGTGCACGTTACCCTTCGTCAGCGTTCAATATCCCGTAATAAATCCCATTATATCGAGAGTGAATTCGATATCTATTATTCGCCGCGTGAAGAAATAAAGGAGACCGGTGCCGGCGCGAGACGTCGCGACGGAAGAGTTTACACGTTCGGTGCCGGCAATATTTGTAAATTCGAAACGGTAATAACAGTTAGAAGAGGCACTTAAAAAGTCAAACGTAATTAGAAGACACGAGGCATTTAAACTGTTTTAGAACGGTTTCCCGTGACGGAACGTAGCCCAATGTTATTTTGTTGAATTCCGTGTCACGCTTTGCACTTTACAGGGCAAACTCGTTTTACATTTAGGAGCCCCCGTAGCAATTCATTTGGCAAAATATTTATTGCACGGTTGGTTTATACCGTAATCGGTACAAGTTGCTTTTTACAGAGGTAAATAGTTCACGATGGAGTTTACGCGATGGAATGCAAAATCCCAATTTCGATCTAAGTCATCGTTCAATTCGTAATTGACCGATTCGCGGTCTCAAGTACATTGAACTTGGATGATTTGTAGGAATTTTTTGATCGCGTGCCAGTACCTCGACACAAAGCATTACTGCCGTAATTGTTCAGCGACGTATTTAAAGAAGTTTAGAAAAGTTTGTCACTCGGTGATATTTATCGCTACGTGCAAGGAACAGAGTGTCGATCTTATCTTAAAGCTACGATATTCTACGGGAAAGTTTTCAGTTAATCAACGTTGCGGTAGTTTCTTTGAAGTAATTACAATTGACATTAAACGCGACGTCGAAGTACAGGATCGAGTTCTGTAAACGTTTTCTTAACACATTATGTGCAGGGAAGGTATAATAATACCGAATAATAGTGCCACGACCCGCAAAGTGTGTCAATATCGCATCGATTTCGTCTCACTTGAGAATTACGTTCACTTTAATATTTAAACATTGTACGTCGACAAGCTTCCATTTACGTGAAACGGATAGCAATGCAACAAATGTTAAGGAACAATGGGAACTGATCGAACTCGGATAGGTTTCTTTGAAATTTCTCTATTTTTACGGAAGCGTTTTACGGGATCGCTGAGAACGAATCGTATTTTCACCGAAACTGCGATTACCGCGTCGATAGGTTCGAGAATGTAGCTCAATTGAAACTTTTCGATGGAAATCTGTAAGCTATCGCGAGGATTCCGTGCCGAGTGGCAGTTATTCCCGTGCTTGGCGCACGGTGGAAAGCCCTCTTGGCGCTAATCACTCGGGTGGACTGTTTCAAACAAATCGTGGTGTAACATTCCGTAACGCGCGGTTGTTCATGATTATGCGGGATATGCGGTTTCCGGGCGAACTGAAACAATGCGGATACTTCACGGAAGAAATGCAATTACAACTTCACTCGTTGTAAGGGGAGTGGACGTTGCAAATTGTTGACTTCTTTTCGAAAATTAAGGGAAGCGTTCGACCGTCACTTGAGAATCAGCACGACAAAATACCAGAAAATAAAATACTAGCTTGTAAATTGAATTTCAGCACTACGACGCATTTATACGAACGTTGATCGAAAGCACAGGATTTTTAATGCATGAAACTTTGTCTCCTTGACACTGAAACTCCATATTTTTGGTTAAGGATCCATTCTACCTTATAGGCACGAAAAATACATGTTTCTTTGTGATTTTTTTTTGCGGTCTATTAAAAAGCGATTAATTCCCTGTTTTGTAGATACATTTATTATATATTTAGCTATATTTACGAATTTTTGCAACGCATAATATCTATTGATTACGCTGTTTTTGTTGATCAACAAACAACAGTTTTTACGAACGGTGCCCGACTGCGTATGTTATTCGAAATCCAAAAACCAACGATATTCTTAATATAGATGAGTGTGGTTAAAGCATGAACTAGGATCTTTTCAAAAGAAACAAAAAATGGCTTTATATTATTATATGAAATGGCAAAAAGTTGCTTCTTTATTAATGAAAGAAAAAGTATTGCATACATCGCAATTATCCTAGTTCATCAAAAAAAACAATTCGATTTTTTAAATCCCAGAAGGTAGAAGGGCCCCTTAATAGACTTATACTATTACAAAAAAAAAATTATTTAATAATAAAAGAAATAATTTTGAAATCAAAATTTCAATTAGTTTTATAAATTGTAGCATTAAAAATATTGCATCGTTGGAAAATTTTAAGTGTATTAAAGGCGCTCGTCGTGTTATTTGCAAGTCACGTCGTTTTTGCGGGGAAGTCTACTCTTTCGAATTTTTTATGATTTTAGGAACAATTGGAAACTTTGAGGAACTTAGTTCCGAACGTTGACGCCGGGAAATTGTCGCAACTATTATCTTGCGCGCACGCTTTGATCACGCAAGAGGCCATATCCCTAGGTCTTCCAGATTTTCCTTTAGACAATTTAACGTCAGCTGCTATTATAATGGTAATTGTTATCTCGTCCTCGAACTACGATCCGCAGGACGAATTTTTTAATTTCGCGCACTACCGCAGGATAAGTGTCCACACCTGCCGGTATCGGATATATTTTACAGATTCTATCCGTATAAATTGTTTCTGGGGAAAGAGGGTCAAACCGCGGTCGAAGATATACTTAAAACCTTTAATATCCTGGATTCGTACAAACATGATAACGTTACACGACGTCTAAACGTAAATGGAAAAACTGACGACTCGCTGAGCGTCACGATACAATACGGCAACGTTAAAACAACGTTGAATGTAAGCGATGGTAGTCGAAGAGAAAGGTTCCAGCGTCGTCGTATTTAAACGTATATTCTATCAGCAGGTTCTTTGCGGCACCAGCGATATAAACGATAATACAAAACAAAACAAATACGTACAGACTAATTATCAGAATAATCTGTTGACGAGCATGTTGGAGACACACTTGGTGTCAGACTTCTGTCTGATTGGACCAAAAGGTTGTGGGAAGTCTACCACTGTGCAGACGTTAGCCGATTTAATGGGGTACCAAGTAGAACCTATAGTACTCTATCAGGCAAGTGTTACTGTATTTGTATTTAATTCATCGATCGAGCTATTTTCATCGAGTAATTTCAGATTAATCAAAATCTGGGAATATTCAAAGTTCGAGAAATCAAGTCAATTATCACTGAATATAATATCTTTTTAATATAAGAAGGGTATACATTATTATAGTGCACTTTATTACATACAGGGTGTTCGGCCATCCATGGGAAAAATTTTAATGGGCGCTTCTAGAGGCCAAAATAAGACGAAAATCAAGAATACCAATTTGTTGATGGAGGCTTCGTTAAAAAGTTATTAACAATTAAATTCAAAAATTTCAGATCATTCAGGAAAAATTATTTTCGGTTGCGAGGGTTAATTACAATCAATTTCGGTGAATAGACATAACCCCGAAATCCTACCCACTTTCTAGAAAAAAATTCGAGAAGATGTGAAATTTTTTGACAGAAAAAAAAGATTTCAAATCGTTTTGGGAAAATTATTTTCGGTTGCGGGGGTCAATTACAATCATTTTTTGTGAATAGACATAACCCCGAAATCCTACCCACTTTCTAGAAAAAAATTCGAGAAGATGTGAAATTTTTTGACGGAAAAAAAAGATTTCAAATCGTTTTGGAAAAATTATTTTCGGTTGCGGGGGTCAATTACAATCATTTTTTGTGAATAGACATAACCCCGAAATCCTACACACTTTCTAGAAAAAAATTCGAGATGTGAAATTTTTTGACGGAAAAAAAAGATTTCAAATCGTTTTGGAAAAATTATTTTCGGTTGCGGGGGCCAATTACAATCATTTTTGGTGAATAGACATACACGCGAAATCTTGCGCCTTTTCGAGAAAAAAATTCAGTACGCGCGGAACTTTAAACGTTAATAACTTTTTAAGGAAGCCTTCATCAACAAATTAGTATTTTTGATTTTCGTCTTATTTTGGCCTCTAGAATTCCCCATTAAAATATTTCCCCGAACACCCTGTATAAAAATCTCATAATATTCTAATAAAATTTAATACCAGTAAAAGTTTTTCTGAACGTTCTCCAGATAAGAGTATTTAAGGGAGAGTTAATTAGTGGACGAATCCGAACGCACTAGTCTATAACAATTTGTCTGAAACGGTTGAAATATCTTCTTAGGATATGACTTCCAGGGATCTGATACAACAACGAACTACTCTGTCTAATGGCGACACCGTTTGGAAAGATTCGCCACTGGTCGACGCGGCCCTGCAAGGAAAAATGGTTATATTGGACGGAATTAATAGGATCCACCCTAGCACTTTAGCTATATTGCACAGGTACATGTTTCCTGTAGATTCGACGAAACTTTTTAAAAGGAATTCCAATGATAACTCCCGATACATTTCGTAGATTGGTTCACGATCGAGAGTTGCAATTGCACGACGGGAAAAGGTTGATCAGGTCCGATCGTTACGACGAGATAAAGAGGGAGCACGATAAGTCGGACGCAGATATGCGGGATTCGGGAGTGTTGCGTATCGATCCTGCATTTAGAATCGTAGCTTTAGCGGAATCGCCGATAATTAATAATTCCTCGGGCCAGTGGTTAAATTCGGAGCTACTCAGCTTATTTCTTTTCCACAAAATGAGACCACTCGACAAATCTGAAGAGCTTCACGTCATTCAATCGAAGGCGATTATTTTTATATTTAAGTATTAATGATAGGGAGAGTCGTATACACCCAGAAGAGTCAAAGATAAGCTAATTTAGGATTTTACAAACAGATTACAGCATACTTTGACCTTCCTTGGCGTGTACGCCCCAAAGAAAGGTAAAAGGAGCGTTCCTCTTGCATGCTAAACGCGTTCTATGTTTTAGTATGGGGAGCCTTGCAAAGCGTTGTCGAGCATTTTAGAACTGGCACACGTATTACGATCCTCCAGCGATCCGACTTTGCAGTCTCTGGCCGGATCTCTCAGCACGAGACAGCTTCTGAGGATAGCGGAGAGAATGCACAAATTTCGAACCGACGATGCATACGACGCGGTGCGTCGCGCCTGTTTGGCCCGTTTTTTGCCAACGTTGGCGAAGCAAACCCTGGAAGATTGTTGCAAACGAGTGGGTATCGTTCCGACGAAAGTCGCGGTGGACAAGGACATTAAGTGTCGAATCACGGGCAACACCGTACAAATTGGAAACACGGTCGTCGATCGATACAGCACCACGGCTCTAACGAAAGTGCCTGACATTTTGTTTTACGACGTGCCCCAGCACGTGTCTCTGTTAGAGAAATTGCTGCAGGACTTCATATTGGGGCAGAATCTGTTGCTGGTGGGGAACCAGGGCGTCGGGAAGAACAAAATTGTCGACAGGCTGTTGCAGGTTTTAAATAGGCCACGCGAGTACATACAACTTCACAGGGACACGACCGTTCAAACTTTGACGCTCCAGCCCATGGTTAGGGACGGGAAAGTGGTCTACGAAGACTCGCCGCTCGTGCAAGCCGTTAAATTAGGCCACGTGCTTGTCGTCGACGAAGCGGACAAGGCTCCCACCCACGTTACTTGCATTTTAAAAGTACGTACGCTCTGTTCGAAACGCTGTTTGTACTTTGTGTAAACTTGGAACTTTTTCGCCATCAGACTCTGGTCGAATCCGGAGAAATGATACTGTCGGATGGCAGACGCATCGTACCCTCCGCGAGTTCTGTCGCGCGGAATTCAAACACCATACCGCTACATCCGGACTTCAGGATAATAGTATTGGCGAACAGACCGGGCTTTCCGTTCCTGGGGAACGATTTTTTCGGTGCTCTGGGCGATCTGTTCAGCACCCATGCTGTCGACAATCCGAGCGTCGAAAACGAGATTCAACTTTTGAAGGAGTACGGTCCGAACGTGGACGAGAACGTAATATTCAAGCTGGTGAAAGCTTTCGGCGATCTGAGAAACATGGCCGACCAAGGCTTGGTCTCGTATCCATATTCGACTCGGGAAGTCGTTAACATTGTGAAACACTTAGAGGTGAGTTTAGGAACAGCTCAAAACTCTAAGCCTCGACGCAATCCTTGTTACCTCAAATGTCTGTGAATTGTTGACGTTGGTGCGTTTGCTTTTCTCTCTGATAAATTTGTTATACACACCAGGAAAGTGGCTCTATAGAAAGTAGTTTATACCATAAATCAGACTCGCTAGCCAATTTCTCATCTCGTACTTTTCTCTGTTTCCAGAAATTTCCTCAGGAATCATTGGCTAACGTAGTACGAAATGTATTCGATTTCGATCGGTATAGTCAAGAGGTATTCGAAACCTTAGTGTCCGTTCTTCACAAGCATGGGATTCCCATTGGAACAAGTCCCACTAATGTCGCGTTAGCGAAAGAGTAAGGATATTTATTTGTAAAGAGACTTTTGTTAAAAGAATGTCCACTTTGTACAAATAAATATAATAGTTAATTCGAATGGGTGTTTTTATTTTTATTTTCAATTGACGATAGCAAAAAGAAAATAAGCCGTCTTTTGGTTTCTCTTTGCAGAATATCTTTACCGGCAAACAGGATTTCCGCTACTTGGAATATTTCGAACGAGCGAAAAGCATTGCCTGTCCAAGAAAGATATATTAAATTAACGTCGCCTATGAGTTTGGTACAAAATGTGTTGTCTTTAGATCGTATCGAAGCTAGATCAGCCATGTTCACCGAATTGCAATATTATTGGACTATACCAATTGATGAAACTAGCCTGATCGCAGCTTTGTCAGTTGCTGAAGACGCGAAAGCTGGTGGTACAAATGATACAATTCATGTTCTTGCCACGCATCCGTTAAAGATCTTTAGTACGAGCCAGAACTCAGATAAAATTCAAGAAACCGTGATACATGGTTTGATCAGTCCTGAGAGTGGCAATAAACCCATGTATACAATATCCACCGATAACGATCAACATGTTTTGGTGCACGAAGAGACTGTAAGTGGTTCTTTTATGTGAAATTAGGTTTCTTTCATCTGTTCTATTACGTTAGAATATATATTTTCAGAGTCATGTTTTGCTCCTGGTCGATGTAAATAATGGGTCTGTTCGACAAATACAATTATCGTCATTGTTCGATAAAGCTTCGGATAAAATATCAAACGCTTTCAGCAATAAAAAGTATCTTTGGAAGATGAACAACCAGTTGACGCTATCTCACAATCAAATCGTTTTCTACGCGTTTAATTCCAACAAAATAGAAGTAATCGATTTACATTCCATGAGTGCTTACACGATCACTCTACCGTTCGACGTAGAGTCAGTTTTGCTTTCGTCCGAGAAAAAATGGTTGATCCAAGACACGTCAAGAAACAAATATGTTCTTACGAAATCTGCCGATTCGTCGCCCTGCCCAAACGTTTTACAAGATCTGGAAGAATCTAACGCGAGCCACCTAAAAGTTGGTTCGTTTATGAGTTGCAGTAAGAATAATCTGCCCCCCAACGTGCTTAGCGCAGCTCTGCAACAAAAGATCGATTCTCCGAACAGACTGATAGTGACTGACAACACTTATGCCAGTATCGCCGTCGGATTTCCTGATTTAGAGAGTACCAACGAAGTTCATTTTTGGCCAAGGAAACAGCGAAGCAGGAGCTTTACACCGCCTATCATCATGGAAAGTGGACAAATTGTTAAAACAGTTGTGCCCCAAGAAGTGCCCGACGACCTTTTCCCTACGAACGCAAAACATTTGGGAATCGCTAGTTACTTAGAAATTGTTGACACCGTGAACAATAAGTTGCGTTATATACCTATACCGGAGTGAGTATTTATATGGATTCTTGAACATTTTTCTGGGTTAGGTTCTGACGGTGAAGGATAATCGTTGATATATTCGGGGAACTTTTAGACCGGCAAATGTATCACCGATGATTCAATGGTTATATTCAAACGGTTATCCTACGTATGCTGCGCCGACATCGAATCAGAATTTGGTAACAGTAGACGTATCTGGATGTGTTAGATATTGGGAAACATCCTTAGCAAATATTGAAAAATCGTTAGGAGCTTGGAGAAGAATGATGGGCGGCGACAACGAAAAGCTGCAGATTACGAAAGAGAGATATTCCGGTTTGGACGTTAGTAGTCCGAAGCATGGAAAGATAGACGAAAAGAACGATCCGCATGTCGGGGGGAACACATGGGCCGGAGGGACTGGAGGTATACTAGACAGTGCTCCTATTACGAACTTTCGCCGAATTTATGTGTTCAATGAAAATTTCAGGAAGAGATACAGCGGGTCTTGGCGGAAAGGGTGGTCCTTATCGTTTGGATGCTGGCCATACGGTGCATCAGCTTAGCGACGAAGAAAAGAATGCTGTACCGGAACACGTAAAAAAAGCGGCGAGGGAAATGGGCCTTAAAGCATTCCAGCAACGCTTGAAGGATATTAAGATGAGCGAATACGACCATAAACTTTATTCTCAATTCAGTAGTCCTGTTCAAAGGCAGGTTCAAGCATTGAGGAATATAATAGGTGAATGTTATTTATTTCTCATGGATAGTTTTTAAAACCAATTATTTAATCACCCAACACCTGCTCATTTAAAACAAAATCATTACTAGAACGCAGGTACAGGTTACTGGATTGATTTTAGAAGAAAATGTTCGCTTATAATATTGTTTCCAACACGGTAGAAGGAAATGTTGTGTAGGGTAATGCCTTAGAAATTGCCCGGTCGCTATCCTTACCAGTTCTTGGAACTGGCTTCTCGTTGTCCCTGTGAGCTATCGACGCACTGTGTTATGCGTCTCTATTTTACTCGCATTCTCTGAAAGAAGATCTCTCTACCTTTAACTTTGGCCACGGCCACGAACGTCGACCAATGTTCAAGGCATCACTGTACCTATTTTTTTTTTCTGGTTTCACCGATTCGCAGATATGCTTGAACGGGTATTCTCTATACTATTCATTTGCAAACGAATGTTATCTCTTTCAAAGGTAGTTTACAGGCCAAAAGTAAGGAGCGCGAATGGCACAGGCACCAAACTTCTGGTGAGTTGGACGATACTAAATTAATCGAGGGACTAACGGGGGAAAGGACGATTTACCGGAGAAGAGCAGAAAAGGAACCCGAGTTTGGTACACCGCCATCGAAACCAAAACGTTTGAAATTGGTAGCGGATGTATCTGGCAGCATGTATAGGTTTAATGGGTATGATGGACGTCTCGACCGCGAGATGGAGGCGTGTGTCATGGTAATGGAGGCGTTTAGCGGGTACGAAGGAAAGTTTCAGTATGATATCGTTGGTCATTCCGGCGATGACTATCGTATTGGATTCGTCAACCATACTCAACCGCCGACGGATAATAGGCGTAGATTGGAAGTAATAAAGGTAATGAGAGTTAAGAAATTGCTTTGATTAAACGTCGAGATTTAGCGTACTGAACGAAGCAATTTCTTTCAGACGATGCATGCGCACTCGCAATTTTGCATGTCTGGCGATAATACCTTGGAGGCAACTCAACATGCAATCGCGAGTCTTTCTAAAGAGGATACTGACGAGTCAATCGTGGTAGTACTGTCGGATGCGAATTTGGAACGTTATGGTATTCGTCCTGAACAATTTTCAAAAATCCTCATGTCGAATCCGGATGTAAACGCTTTCGCCATATTTATTGGATCATTGGGCGATCAAGCAGCTAGGTAGGCACAAGCTATCAAAATTGGTAAGATACATGTTCTTTTCAGGACGAATTATGAATATGTATGTTGAATTTGTAGGTTAATTAAAAAGATGCCTTCAGGCAGAGCATTTGTTTGCATGGATCTGAAGGATATACCACGAATCTTACAACAAATATTTGCTGCTTCTTTGCTAAGTACTACGCGACCTAATTAATATTATACACTAATAAAATTTAAAAAAAACAAGGAAATCATGTATTATAATGTATGTTTACTTTGTACCTACAACCTATGAATGTATGCTTGTACATTGTGTAAATAGAAACATCTTTTCCATTTTATCGATATACGTATATTGCGTTATTATTGATATTATACAAATAATTTCAAAATAACATAATTTGTTTGAAGGTTGATATTGCATAAACTACATACATTAGTATGGGTCACAGTTAATATGTCTTCACGATAATTGGTCTACGCTTTAAATATTCAAATATATCTGCAAGTTAAATATACCGAAAATAATCGAAACCACACGAAACGATCTAAAAGCACCTTATCATTCTTTCGCGAAATCTATAATCCAACAACCACGACGAATACAAAAATAAGTGGCTAATATAATTACCGCGAACGAAAGATACACGTATGGAAGTACCCCGATATCTTTCCACGCGTTTCATGAAAGACTTCAGATATATACCCGAGACGATTTTAATTAATATTCGAACGTTATAATATTCTGTACGTTTCACACGCGGCCTAGTCCACTTAAATTGTTCAATAATCTGTAACAAACATACCAAAAGAAGTATCTGCTTAGCAGCCCTTTTCTACAACTAGTTACGAATTATAGATCCACACGAGGTACGGGCAATTCAGCTACTATCGAGCAAATCGATATTTTGATATTTCCAAGTAACGTCGCTAGAAGGTAAAAGACGCGAAACGTTATTCCATGCAGCTGTTTATTAGTTTTCGTTGGAAACAATAGTTACCCAGGTCTGATACGGAGTACCACGATGCCCGAATATTAATGGTAATCACTAAATCGCGGCGGAAGAGGTTATAATTCGCGCATCTCGTGGACTCGGCGATCCGTGACCGTTGCCGAGAAGCTTGGGGTGACGGGACGGACCGAAGTCGGCCGAGGATCGCCGAAGTGAATCGCGAGCGTTCGAGTGGTGTGGGGCGTGCGTTTGCCAGTCGCACGCCGGTCGTTGAATGGAGCGGGTGTGGAGACGTGTACAAAGTGCCGGTCGTCGCGGTGCAGCAGCTCGATGTGGCTGCCCCGTGCAGCCGTGTCAGCTGCACGTGGACCAACGCGCGAAACGCGGCGGTGGTCGGAAATCTCGCGGCGGGCCGCAAACGATCGTGTGCGGTTGTCAAGTGCAGCCGTGTCCGGTGCATCCGGTGCTGATTAGGGTTCGTCGTGCTCGACCCGCCGTTGGCAACTGCGACTGTCCACCCGAATCGCAGCCCTGTCCGCACGCACTGTCGCGTACGTCGGCCGGACGCAGGCTCCGTAGGTAAATAAAGCATGGTTCTTTCTACCGTTCGGCGCTGCTCTTTTCTTCGCCGTCTCTCTTCGCTGTTCCGAGCGACAGCGTATGCACACGTTGCGATCCATTGCGATTTAAAGGGGTGGAAGGCACGAAGGTCAAAGAAACGACGTGTTGATCGTATTTACGAGGCCGTGAGCGGAGAACGGTCAGGTACAATCACGGTTTAACCTGGCGCCCTTTTCCTACGAGGTTAATGCGTCCACTTAACGATGGCACGGTGAATGATGAGATTATGTGCGTTGCGTGTTGTGCAACGTGAGGGTTCGAGGTGTCGAAACACTTTCGCGAGATGAGTACCGGGTTTATTGACTGACGAGTTGCTGGGGGAAGTAGAAATAGAGTAACTAGCGAGGTTCGTTCGTATTGTGGGCTCGTATTCTACAGGTAGCTTAGCAAAAGAATGTACGCAGCTTTGTTCCCGTGTTTCCTTTGCACACTACGAATGTAGAGGCAAGAGTTAATGGCACGTTCTAAGAAATTTTCCTTCGCTACGGAAACGTATATGTTCGCTCTAAATCTACAACTGCACGGGGTATACTTTGTGTGTTTAACCGTAATAAAGTTTGCTCAATATTCAAGCATGTAACGTGCTATTCGAGCCTCGAGCGAGCGACGCGAACACAGAGTTATGCGATAACAATAAAGTATGTTTGAAACAATTAGAGGATCCCGAGCAATAGAATAGGATGTATCTGTTAAGGGTGGAAGAAGTAGAAGTGGAGTACTGAATAAAGAAATAATATTTGATGGAACGATTCGTTTAAATTATTCGACAATTTTAATTCTACTCATTTTACCGGAATACCAAATATGGTACTCTAAAATAAGTTTTTAAAATTTCAATCGACTATTTTAATCTTTATTGTATAAACGTTTTTATCCATTTTATAGCGAGTAATCACCCTGGTTTAAACATTATAGGTTAAGTACGATTTACTTAATATTTTTATTGAATATTTAAAATATTGGATTTTGTTGAACGACAACGACATTTGAATAAGTGATCCTTTAAATGTTTCGGTTTGCAAACAGCAGAATTCAGCAAAATTGTATTGGAATAATAGACAATCAATATAAGCAACGTACATATAGCTTGCTCCTGGCCATTTATTCAATCGAACAGTTAAGTTCCTATTTGTTTGTTGGGAAACATTTTATTCTATAATTAAAATTTTTATTTTTATTTGAGGAGTAACGAATGTATAATTGTATGTCTTTTATTTTTTATTCGGTGTTTTCTTTTATCCTTGTCGGGCAAACATTCTTTTCAAATTATATTGTACAAGATTTCGAGGTCATCGACATTCTGTTTCGTTTTATTTCTTTATAATTTGTTTATTTGTTCATTACGATTGCATTATAATGTATTTAAAGGGCTCGTATCGCCTGTAATGAATAATATGAATTGCTATACTATTTGTCGAATCGACGTAATTATATCAACGATATGAATGTATAATGCACAAGTTTATAATGAATATTTATAAGATTTGGAAGTTCAAATTTGTAACAGAGATTAAGTCAATAAATTATCCATGTAGATATTTAATTTTACAGAGGGAAGTATTCCTCTGCACTGTATTTAAATCCGTACTTCAATTTTATATAAAACTCATTAAAATGATTAACAATTTAATGATATATGTGCTATGATTTACTTTTATGCAGCGAAATTGAAAATTACACGTTAACCGTGTAATTTTCGGGTCGATATTTAGTTTCATCTTACGCGTTCGCAACTTTTGCAGGGGAAAATCGATTAGCAAATGAGTATTTTTCGCGTAACGAGAAATTGAAGTGCATTAAAGCATTTACATTACCTTCGCTATTATGATTAAACGCCGAACGTGTAATTTACTGTCAAGTAACATTTTTTAGCGTTCGCCGTGCAATTTCCGTGTTACGTGTCATGCGTTACCGAAATTAATTTCACGATTACCTGGGACAGTTTAACAAAGTTTACATACGACGGAGTAAATAGGTTTCTATGTACCTCTTAATGATTCCGCGAGATTTTTTGAAAGCGAGATCTTTAGCAGTAGACGACTCGCGCCAATTTACAGCGCGTGACTATTTACGAAGTTTTGAAGCCAGAAAAGAAAAGTTAAATTCCGTCGGCGCTCTAGCCTCTCATGCATGATTTTATAATTACACACATCTTTCACACCGTCCCCGTGCCGAGGACAATAAATATTATAGCTTTCACGGTGTCGTTTTGATCCTTTATTATGTTGTCCGTCGGGTTTAACGAGAAATTTCAAGCTATTACCCTATCTTTTCACTCGTTTTACGTTCTACTTTGTCGTCAACGTCTTAAACCTTATGGACGCTCGGGTATATATAGCGCGAGAATGAGAACGTGACTTATTGCTGTCTACATTTTTCTCCTTTTCTTGCTATAAAGTTCCACCCTTAAATCACCTGGCTGGACATTGAAATTATTTCGCGAACGTTACGATCTTTTACCGGCTCGGTAATATTACTTCCCGCGTTAATATTACTCTTTCAATGCGGCAATACGATTGTCTGAAATTAATGGTTCTAATGACTTTGAAATATGGCGGTCGTTTCAATGTTTTACATTTTTGCTCGTAGATTGAGTCAGTATCGTTTTTCCACCATGATATATTACTGTTCATTAAATAAATAAGTTGAATGTGATCCGATGCAGATTCCATTATAACGATATTACAACATTGTACATAATTAGTTAATTACATCCATACATTCGTTCTATCAATATTTTACCAGTTATTTCCAAATTACTATTTTTACGTTCGAACGAAGGCACAGATTTTGTTTCTTTCAAAATGCAAATAAATCGAACAAGCACTTCCAATTAATTAAGCACATTTGTTGAATTCGTTCGTCGTAGGAAATTATTTTCTCGTCCCTGTTCGACTTGTTTAGTTTGCAAACGTCATCGATTCAATCTTTGACTCGTGGTAAGAATCGACACATTGTTCCAATAATAGGGGAATATTCATAGCTATTACGATATTCAACATCAGGCATCGAAGGAAGAAAAAATATGTAAAATAAATTTTATTAGATTTTTCTCATATTTCCTCGCGCATCTTTCAGGTTTGGGTAGATTACAATAGATATGAATACATTCCTGATTACGAAAAGGTCTATATAGATTCGACAGAGTTTATCTGGACTTGGATGAACCGACTTAGAGACTACTGGCCGCGACAGAAAGCATCGAAATCCAACAAGATTCAAAGGGTTACAATACATCCAGGTACAATGGGTTCTGGTCGTTGGTAGAGTGGTCAGTGCTCAGCAGGATTCAACCGGAGTCGGATACGACAAATTAGAACTCATTGAGCACAGAGGAACTCGTTGCGTTACCGATCATACCCCCGTTGGAGCGATTTCGATCCAGCAGGATCCGCGGCGTAGCATAGTTGTGGACGTCCGGTATCGATCTTATCGGTTCTCGGTGTTTGGGTCACGGTGTCGATAACCCTCGTCCGATGGGTCTCCTCGTTCTGACAACAAGTAGTTGGGTTCTAATCAGGATCGCGTTTCTGAATTAGAGTTTAGTCCTGTCAGTCAAGGTGTGACTAGATCCAATTGAACCTCCACCGGACATAGACGGCATTCGGTGCCTCTGAATATGCTCCGTTTATTGCGATCTGTCTGGCTATAATTAACCCCCAATAATCTTAATCGGATTTGACTACACCCACGCACAACGCTTACC